TCTTGTGCAGCCAGAATTAACTCTTCTGTCTTCTTCAATTTTCCTGCTCTTAACCATTGCCAGGTCTAGTTGCTATGTGCTTTGTCTGCTAGTTTTTGTGTACTAGTCATATAATACTTTGCCTTGCCGTGTCTCTTTTCTACTTTTATTGCTAATTATTATTGCCACCTACTCCAAAATGCTCTTTTTATTGTTATTGTTCAGAGATCACATGAAGTCATGTGCAGCAGTGGGAACCTTCAACTCTCACTGTTGAACTAGAGCACACATCAGATCTGATCAACATGGTTAATAGGAAGGATATTCAGAATTGGTTCAGTGCCTGACCACCGTGAGAGGGTGGCCAGGTGTCAGAGCCCCTGGGGGCTAAACCGGGACGCTTTTTTACATATATGCACTTTACCAGCTTTCTACATATATGCACTTTACCAGCGAGGGGACTTTACCAGCGAGGGGACTTTACCATCGGTCTTTACCACTGGACAAAACGCTGTGAGAGGGCGATTTTTGGACCTGACCCCTGGACGCTGTCTATATGCATCGGCTCTTTGCTGCCACCCCACCACAAGAGGGGGCTGTCCAGCTGACCTAACCACCGTGAGAGGGTGGTTGGATCTATTTCCCCCTTGGAACTGTGGTCGTCCTGGCTTTGGACTATGTCCTCTGTTGTGAGGGGACAGGGGACTTGGTCCTGCAAATATGTCTCTGAGATTTCTCCCATCTTTTTGTCTTCTCCTCGGTCCTGTATATACACCCTCAGGATATGGTTGTGTCACCCATTATGATTAATGTACTCAGCAGCGGAGCTTCTTGGTCTGCGAGACTCCCCCCTCTCGCAGGCTTGGCCCTCCATTCTATTGAGGGCCTACCTCGATGACGGGCTCTGGAGTCCCGAGAGGTGGCATGCTGCAAAGAGGGGGCTGTGGGTTTTTTTAAAATTGTCCTTGTTTAAACTTTTAAGGGGTTCTGGGAGGGGGGAGGGGGGTGGGATTGGAATTAGGGTGTGGGTTTGGGGGATAACCCACTAGGGGGAGAATCGGGCTTGGCCAGGACGTTCGGCGGGGGTGGTGGGGGATCCGGAGGGGGGTCGAGCTGGTCCAGACTGCGTTTCTACCATCGGTACTGTGTGTGGGAGAGGTAGATATGGCGGGAGCAGGGGGCCATATCATGTTAAGGGAGCACGCACCCGCTGTCTTCAAGTGGTAGAGTGCTCCGGCCCCCAAGGCTCCACCCGTTCTCCAGGTAGCTCAGACCTCCAGGGCCCGGGCCTTCGCCTGATGTTGTGCAACGCCAGGTCTGTAGTAAATAAAGCCCCCCTCATTTGTGATCTTGTTTACGAGGGGGGAGCGGACCTGGCGGGTATTACGGAGACCTGGTTGGGCCCAGAGGGAGGGGTCCCTCTGGTAGAAATGTGCCCACCAGGTTTCCACGCATTCCATCAGCCAAGGTCGCAGGGGAGGGGCGGGGGAGTAGCGGTTATTATTAGAGAAGGCCTTAGGCCGAGGGAGACCACTGTACCTCAGACAGCCGGTTGTGAGTCCCTCCTTGTGAAGTGGGGCCATGGGGTTCAGATGGGCTTGCTGATCACGTACCTGGCTCCCTGCCACGTGGCGGCAGCCCTGCCCGAGCTACTCAACGTTATTGCCGCGGTGGCGGTTGATACTCCCAGACTTATGGTCATGGGGGATTTCAACCTGCCATCCGTGGGTGAGGCGTCTGAGGTGGCTCGGGAGTTCATGGCTTCCATGACGGCCATGGACCTGACCCAACTAATTCATGGCCCTACGCACACTGGGGGAAACACACTGGACTTGGTTTTTGTCTCTGGACAGTGGTTGAGTGATCTCGAGATAGGGGATATAGTCATCGAGCCCTTGTCATGGTCAGATCACTCGCTCCTTCGCCTTGACCTTCGAACCGCAGCACCCCGCCGCAGGGAGGCGGAACCGGTAAGATGGTACCGCCCCAGGCGCCTGATGGAACCTGATAGGTTCCAGATGGAACTTGGGCCAATCCCGGAGGTTCTGGCTCACGCCTCATCTGGGGACCTAGTTGCCGCCTGGGATAGGGCGGCGGCTGGAGCCCTGGATCGAGTCGTGCCTTTGCGGCCTCTGACCCGGCGCCGATCTCGCCAGGCTCCTTGGTTCACCAAGGAGCTGAGGGAGATGAAGCGCCGGAAAAGATGCCTAGAGAGCTGTTGGAGGGCTAGTCTTTCTGAATCTGACCGAACACTGGTAAGATCTCATATTAGGAATTACCTAGTGGCGATAAAAGCAGCAAAGTGTTCTCATTTTGCTGCTCTTATTGCATCATCAGATAATCGCCCGGCCGCCCTGTTTAGGGTGACCCGCTCCCTGCTCCACCAGGAAGCGCGGGAGGACCCCTTGGAGGGAAGAGCCGAGGATTTTGTTCAGTATCTGTATGACAAAATCACTCAGATTCGGGCAGGTCTGGACTCTGACGCGATAGATCCAGAGAGGGTGATGGAGACAGGTCTTGAGACTGTTATCTGGGATGAGTTTGATCCTGTGACCCCAGATGACGTGGACAGGATTCTGGGTAGATTGAACGCGACCACATGTTTGTTGGACCCGTGTCCCTCCTGGTTAGTGCTGGCTTCCCGGGAGGTGACGCGAGGCTGGCTCCAGGGGATTATAAATGCTTCATTGGGTGAGGGTGTCTTCCCCGCCGCCCTGAAAGAGGCGGTGGTAAGGCCTCTCCTCAAGAAGCCTTCCCTGGACCCGGCAGTATTGGCTAACTATCGTCCAGTCTCCAACCTTTGCTTCGTTGCGAAGGTTGTTGAGAGTGTGGTTGCGCGACAGCTACCCCAGTACCTGGATGAAGCGTCGTATCTAGATCCGTTCCAGTCGGGCTTCAGACCTGGGTACAGCACGGAAACGGCATTGGGCGCGTTGGTTGATGATCTCTGGAGGGCTCGGGACAGGGGTTGTTCCTCTGTCCTGGTCCTGTTAGACCTCTCAGCGGCTTTTGATACCATCGACCATGGTATCATGCTGCACCGGCTGGAAGGGTTGGGGGTGGCAGGCACCGTTTTACGGTGGTTCTCCTCCTTTCTCTCTGACCGGTCGCAGTCTGTGTTGACAGGGGGGCAGAGATCAACCCCGAGGCCCCTTATATGTGGGGTGCCGCAGGGATCGGTTCTCTCGCCCCTCCTGTTCAACATTTATGTAAAGCCGCTGGGCGAGATCATCCGTGGTTTCGGGGTGAAGTACCATCTGTACGCTGACGACACTCAGCTGTACATCTCCACCCCGGATCACCCCAACGATGCCCTTGAAGTGATGTCCCAGTGCCTGGAGGCCGTACGGATCTGGATGGGGAGAAACGGGCTCAGGCTCAACCCATCCAAGACCGAGTGGCTGTGGTTTCCGACATCCCGATATAGTCAGCTGGCGCCATCGCTGGCTATTGGGGGCGAATCATTGGCCCCCACGGAAAGGGCTCGTAACTTGGGCGTCCTCCTGGATTCACGGCTGTCTTTAGAAGAGCACTTGACGGCCGTGACCGGGAGGATTTTTCATCAGGTTCGCCTGATTCGCCAGTTACGTCCCTTTCTAGATCGGGACTCGTTACGCACAGTCACTCATGCCCTCGTCACCTCTCGTCTGGACTATTGTAATGCTCTCTACATGGGGCTCCCCTTGAGGTGCACCCGGAGGCTCCAACTGGCGCAGAGTGCGGCCGTGCGGGTGGTTATGGGAGCAACATGGAGCTCCCATGTAACACCTCTCCTGCGCGAGCTGCACTGGCTCCCGGTGGTCTTCCGGGTGCGCTTCAAGGTGCTGGTTACCACCTTTAAAGCACTCCATGGCTTAGGACCTGGTTATCTACGGGACCGCCTACTACCACCAACAGCCTCCCACCGACCAGTACGCTCCCACAGAGAAGGGCTCCTCCAGGTGCCGTCGGCCAAACAATGTCGGCTGTCGGCCCCTAGGGGGAGAGCCTTCTCTGTGGGGGCACCGACGATCTGGAATGAGCTCCCCCCAGAGATACGGAGGATCCCGGATCTGCGCACCTTCCGCCGCGAGTTGAAGATGCTTTTATTTCATCAAGCGGGCCTCGCCTAAATTTTCTCCCTTTTAAATGAAAATTTTAAATTTTTAATTGTATTTTAAAATTATGGGTATTTTAAATTATGGGTATAAATTCAGCCAAATTTATTTAATTTATTTTATTCGATTTTAAATTTTGTATATTTATGTGTTTTATTTCATGGCTGTACACCGCCCTGAGTCCTTCGGGAGTAGGGCGGTATAGAAATTCAATAAATAATAAATAATAAAAATAATAAAGTGACATCTGGAGGGCAATGTGAACTATGGGGTTTTGCATCCACTTTTCTTTGTGTCAGATAGGAACTTCAAAGCTTCTCCTTCTGTTTTTCTTCATGTTTTAAATGCTGCTGTCTTAAATATCTTATATTTGATATTTTAAATTGTTTTTGTGATTATTAACTGTGATAGTGATATATGTGCATTTATATGGTTCATGTCAACACTTCAACCTGCATTTACTCTAGTGCTGACATAAGAAGAAGGGGGGCCAGCTGGCAAGAGGATGCTTGACATTTCACCTACTTATTTTCCTTGAAGATAATATCCCCTAGGAGATGAGAGGGAGGGGGGGCATTCCTGGGAGCTTAGGTAGTAGATACGGGGAGAGTGATTTGGAAGAAGGCCAATGAGACGCAGAGATTTGGGGAACGGAAAGGGAGGGTTTGGGGTCAGGAAGCCAGAGCTGGCTACGCCACGATCGGGGCCAGATTGTCGTGCTTAATAAAATGAAAGATTTCTTCAAAGACTATCTGTTTGGAAATGCAATTTATTTTATTTGAAGACGATATCGAAACCTGACAGTTCGATTATAATGGAAGATATATTGGGAAGACAATTTCCTTTGAAAAACAGAATATAAACAAATAAATGAGCAAGAACCATTGTTTTCAAGCTCTTTTTCAATCCCCTTTTGTATTGAAGGAACAGCCACAGCCTTCCCTGGTACTGCTACTGTGCCATCACCTGGCCTACCTACCCAGAAGACTACAGAATCACAAAACGTGATGGAGAAAGAAATAGAGTTGGCAACTCAGATATCAACAGTTTCCAGCACCGCCCAACTCTTGAGGATATTAGAAACAGTTGCTCCTACAGGGTCTCCTCCTTCTACCCATCTCCCAGTGAAAATGGTGGCAGTTAAAGGTTGGTTGGATTTTTCCTCCTTAATTTAATTCTAAGTCCATCTTGTGACACCTCAGTTGAATGGTTGATGGGAGAGATCCTTCTATGTGAGACTTCGGAAAGTTGCTTCTAATTCTGATAGGCAGAAGTCTGACACTTCATCCCTGGCTGAATTACTGCTCATGGTAACCCTCACCATTCATCAAGTTGGGTGGAGCTTCTGGGAGATTTTAATGTAATTCAATAACAGTCAGTGGGCCATAGGATGCCCAACCTGGGCTATGCCATGCATGGACAACCCTCCCCTTTTAACGACTCTCATCCCAGAACTAATTTGGGGTAAGTCAGGGCGACTGGATGGAGCTGAGATTTACTGGCTGGATGCCCTTTTTGACGACATGTAGAGTTTACAGCAGACATTGTTTTTCTTTGCGCCCGGGGAGAAAGAAACATCTACCGCTACCTAGGATTGAACTCTCAACCTTCTGAATGGGAGGTGATTAGCTTCACCGCTAGGCCACCACACCGCTCACGGTGCATTGATTGGGCCATGTGATGGACAAGTGGGTGCTGGGGCAGGGACTTGGACTTTCCTATGGGTGGGGAAAACCTGGAAGCTCTCAGATTCGGGTTTTCCCAGATGTGTCAACATGACAACTCTAATAAAATGGAACTTTGAGGAAGTTCTAGCTTCGGAGTCTTCTTTCATTGGGGGCGTTAACTTGGAACCCCCTTCATATAACAGTCAGAATTAATTTCAGTCCTCTTGTAAGAGTTATTTTTATGTTTACTATGGTTTAATGCTTGCAAGGAAAAAAAATCCGAATTTGCTAGAGAGGGAAATACAGGAAGTCCTCGACGTGCGACCACAATTGAGCCCAACATTTATGTTGCTACATGAGAAATTTGTTAAGTGGGTTTTGCCCCATTTTATGACTTTTCTTGCCACATTTGTTAAGTGAATCACTGCAGTTGTTAAGTTAGTAACAATGAAGGTTGCAAAAGGGGATCACATGACCCTGGGACATTGCAACCGTCATAAATGTGAGTCAGTTGTTAAGCATTCGAATGTAAATAACAGAACCATGGGGATGCTGCAACAGTCATAAGTTTTCACTCTGGTCATAAGTCACTTTTTTCAGTCCTGTTGTAATTTGAATGGTCACTAAGTGAACTGTTGTAAGTCAGGGACTATCTGTAATCTGATCTAATGTAAGGCAATTTAGTATACTAATTGTCATGAAAAAATGGATGGTTTTAAGAATGCCAAATCGCATATCAGTTCACTCAAACCTTACGTTTTCTATTGAAAGACTGTCCTAGCTAATAACCCTGCTCTTATAACCCCAATTAGTAGGCAGGAGGTGAGTAGGAAAAAGTCTTTTTATTAGTTTTTAAACCACAAATTATATACTTTTGGAGTATTAGGAGATTTAATGTATCAGTGCACGCTATACTGTTTATTTCTTTTTTGCATTTGTATAATGTTTGTGTTTGTAGTTTTTCTTAATTTTTGTATTATTGTATTTTGCAGTTTACATTATAAACTATTTTGAGATATGTATTCTGAAAGATAATTGTCAAGTAAATTAATAAATTATGTTAAATACAGTTGCAATCAACTAGATCAGTGTTTCTAAATCTTGGCGGCTTGAAGATGCGTGGACTTCAACTCCCAGAATTCCCCAGCCAGCACAGCTTCTGGGAGTTGAAGTCCACACATCTTCAAGCTGCCAAGATTGAAAAATATTGAACTAGATGGTAGAAGTTTTCTTTTAACTCTAATATTAGATTTCAAGATCATCCATTGAAAGAGAGGGTTAGAGATTCAAGGTACACTGGAAGAACTTTTCTTCCTTGTACACCACATTATGAAGTCGTGGAATTATTTACTGTGAGAAGTAAAGGTATTTACCAATTCAAATATGAGGGGTCCTTGGTGCTCTCTGATCTTGCTTGTTTTCTTGCAGACCAAACTAGGTAACTTCATCAGTGCTAGAGCTAGCATTGATGATGTTACCTTTTGGGTAATGAAATGTCTGCAAGAAAAAAGGAAGCTCAGAGAGCAGCAAGGACCCCTCATCTCAACCCTGAGCTACAAATATTTTCTTGTATCAATTCAAACAGCTTCAAAACATTTGGGAATCATCCTTAATTCATGTGCTAAGAATTTCCACATGTACGAAATATACATTCTCACCTATTTCCATCTGCGAGGATTAGCTGGGGTTCTTCTCTCCAGCCATTGGTTAAGGATGATGAAAATTATAATATGAAGCTTCTTTCTTAGTCATTGTTTGCAATCTTATAGGTCTCACTTGTGATTCTTGCTTGGCTTCCAGAACCTGTCACCCTCCTAGAGAATGAAGAGATCATTTCTGTTACCTATATTCCTGCAACGGTGGCTGATCTGAGGGTGCCAGCTGAAATGACTCTGCCTTCTTTGGCATCTTCAACAAGACAAACCACAGTTCTAGCTGCCCACCGAATTACCACAGCTTCAACTTATGGGCTGGAAAGGCTGGAATCAGAAGGTACTTAAGTAAGATGATTTGAACAGGGATCTTTAAAATCTGAATACTCCCCTACAGGAATTGACTGTGAGAGTCTAATGGTCCAAATATCTACTTTATATAGTACTAAAACTCTCATGTCTGTTTAATTGTTTGTAACTTGGGTGAAAGAGTGTATCATAGGGAAACAATTTAGAATCGAAATTCCTCAAATGGGTTATAGAACATGTCCAAGAGGCAGGACCTACCTTCTTTTGGGATTGAAATTTAGTAAGTAAGTTGTAAGTCTTAAATTTGCCTTAATGCATAAAATCCAACTGGATGGCTTTGGAATATGTAGTCATTTTCACTTAGGTTAGGAAGAAGACAATGATAAATTAGTTCTGGAAATGTTGCTTAGAAAGTTGCATGGGCTTGTGCAAGCACTGACTTGGAGGCAGATCCCTCTGTCTCTCTCTCTCTCTCCACCTACCTACCTACCTACCTACCTACCTACCTACCTATCATCTATCATCTATCTCTCAAAATATTCAAATATTCTTGGTCCAGCATGACCATGCCACAAACAGATTAAATGCAGAGTCGCCTTGAACCGCAAGATGAGCGGCATATAAATTCAATAAATAAATAAATAAAAAAAATATTTTTTGAGTAAACTGTAAACATGTGAAATAAGAATTAAACTAGATTTCACACTGCATTGTTTCTTTTTGTTGTTATTAGTTGTGAAGCTGTGTCCGACCCATCGTGACACGATGGACAATGTTCCTCCAGGCCTTCCTGTCCTCTACCATCCTCTAGAGTCCATTTAAGCTCACGCCTACTGCTTCAGTGACTCCATCCAGCCACCTCGTTCTCTGTTGTCCCCTTCTTCTTTTGCCCTCAATCTTTCCCAGCATTAGGCTCCTCTCCAGTGAGTCCTTCCTTCTCATTAGGTGGCCAAATTATTTCAGTTTCATCTTCAGGATCTGGCCTTCTAAAGAGCAGTCAGGATTGATCTCCTCTAAGACTGACCGGTTTGATCGCCTTGCAGTCCAAGGGACTCGCAGGAGTCTTCTCTAGTACCGTAATTCAAAGGCCTCAATTCTTTGGTGATCAGCTTTTCTTATGGTCCAACTTTCACAGCCATACATTGCAACTGGGAAAACCATAGCCTTGACTATACGCACTTTTGTTGGCAGGGTGATGTCTCTGCTTTTTAGTATGCTGTCTAGATTTGCCATAGCTTTCCTCCCCAGGAGCAACCGTCTTTTAATTTCTTGGCTGCAGTCCCCATCTGCAGTGATCTTGGAGCCCAGGAAAATAAAATCTGTCACTTCCTCCATTTCTTCCCCATCTATTTGCCAGGAATTGAGAGGGCCAGATGCCATAATCTTAGTTGTTTCTTTACCCAAGGCTTAATGGTTATAAGATTCAGCATCTCCAAGCGTGGTGGAAATGTCTCTCAAGATATTTCTATGCTAGTGGAGTAGCTTCATTTCTGTATTCTGATGTTAAACTCTCAACACTTATTGCAAAGTCTTTTCATAATCAAAGGACTCTGAACTTTGTTATTCTTTCTGAAGCAAGTAGAGGGGGATAGCTGGAGATAACAGGAACCTTGTCTATCCCAGAAGGTGATAAGCCTGATCAAAGTTTTAGAATATGAAAAGGGGAGGGTTGTTTTAGCCTAGTGAAAACTTTAAAAATGTTTCCGCCAGACTAAAATAAAAGTAAACTGATGTAGAAAAAATTAGGAAAGGGGACTGATGGGAAGAGCAGGGAACATCCATATCAGTTAACTTTCTGGTAAATGGATCTGAGTAATGTTTATTAAAAAAAGTAGATTGCATGAATGGCAAGTTTTCTTAGTCTACCTAGTGCCCAGGCTTGAATATCTGCCTGCCTGCCTGCCTGCCTGCCTGCCTGCCTGCCTGCCTGCCTCCCTCCATCCATTTATCCATCCGTTTTTTGAGGCCACCCACTTCACATAAGTGAATCTGAACAGTGTAGAAAGATTAACTCTCCCTCCCCTAAACATATAACCCCCTAGAGCCCTTTCCATCTGCTCTTGGATTCTCCATTTTTACAAAGTAGGTACCTGACTAAGCTCTTAAAGGACAGATGCTTTATAAATCATAGAGGGAGAAGGGGACATGAAGCGGCATAGATGGCTTTCCTTGCTTGCGGATAACATCGGGTTAGCTTCCTACTTTTAATTAGCAATCATTCTTTAAATTGAGTTACATGCTTTTTTCTTTTCCTGTAATCATTACCAACCTGTTTTAATTAATGTACTAATGATTTTTTGGACAAGATTTATTCCGAGGAGAGAACTTTTCTAGGAGTTTGATTAAATTTTGGTGCAACGATGGGACAGTAGCACAGAGACACTGCCTGCTGCTGTTCCTGCAGTTGTGCAAAGCCGTCCAATATTTTAAGTGATGATTCTTTGATTCTTGTGAGTCTCAGAAGAAGAATAGTTTCTATATTGTACAGTATTCGTGGTTAAGCTGATCAGGGCAGTTGATCAGGGCAATTAGAGCTAGCTGAAGCTCTGGTTTGACATTTAGCAGATACAAAATAGAGACTCAGGCTTAGTCAAAGACTAAACTTTCTCTTTTTTATAATTAATTTGTAACTGTTCACATTTGTAATCTTGTACTTCCTTGTCACTTAATTATCAGTGCTCCTTATTTTTTTAGCATCGGGGTCTTGCCTATCCTATGTTATTGAACATGTCCGTGTGTGCATGATTTGGATTTACAATCTCATAATAAACCTTGGAAGGGACATGGTGGCTCAGTGGCTAAGATGCTGAGCTTGTCAATTGAAAGGTCGGCAGTTCAGCAGTTCGAATCCCTAGTACTGTGTAACGGGGTGAGCTCCCGTTACTTGTCCCAGCTTCTGCCAATCTAGCAGTTCGAAAGCACATAAAAATGCAAGTAGAAAAATAGGGACCACCTTTGGTGGGAAGGTAACAGCGTTCTGTGCGCCTTTGGCATTTAGCCATGCTGGCCACATGACCACGGAGACATCTTCAGACAGCGCTGGCTCTTTGGCTTTGAAACGGAGATGAGCACCGTCCCCTAGAGTCAGGAACGACTAGCACATATGTGCGAGGGGAACCTTTATCTTTAATAAATCTTGGAGTTGGAGGTATTCTAGTGTCCTGGTTGAATAGACAAAAATTAACCTCAATCTGGGAAGGGAGAGAAAACTTACAAATGGGATGGAAATTCTGAAGTTAACTCTTAGGGATATTTCTCCAAGAGTATATATCCAAGGCATATATCTATGTGAGCTGTGGATGTTTTGGCAAGGATGTGACCAGCTGATGTAAGGAAGTTTTTGGTTAAGATTTCTGGGAGCTGTAGTCCCAAAACATTTGGAAGGCACCTTGTGGAGATAAAGGTACCAGAATGTTTTATATTAAAAAGAAAAATAAAGGAACAGGGCATCAGGCATCTGTGAGATCTCACAAGAGCAAACTTCTTCAGGGCGATTCTCAGCTGCCATCCAGCTACAATTGGAAATCTATACCATAAAACAGTAAGGCTTTTCTGTTTTTTCATTACACTGATGTAATAGCCAAGCATATTTGGTATTTTTTTTTTAAAAAATAATCAGTTATTTCAAAACGAATACCTCTGTTTTATTTGTGGAGAATAAAAAGGGATGGGAGCAGTGACTGGAGTGGTCTTATTTTGCAACAATTATGCCTCCCTCCCTCTCTCTGGAGACCAGGAATATCAGCCTGTGTAATCCTGGAACAAACCATTTAACATCTTATCTAGATATGGACATCACATACTGTACTGTGAATCTGAACAAAGATGGTGTAATTCTGTAGAATTTATAGGGATGAAAACAATTTGGAATCTATTGCCCTACAGAACAGACTTGATCTCTCTGTCCCACCATCCTAAAAACTGGGTCCTTAAGGTTGATTTTTTTTTCTGTCATTAATTACAGTTCATACTTTTGTGTGATGCATTTCTAAAAATAAACAGATTTTTATATTGAAAATATTTATCAAAATTAATCACCACCTATCTCGGTCTCAGAGTGGCTGAATGGTATATAATCAAAATATAAAAACATAAAAACCATATAAAAATGCAGTACCTCTGTATAAGGAGCTAGGTTGAAACAAAAATAAGTTAAAAGTTAAAATCCAGGAGTATGGAATGTCAGGAGGATCTTGATATTTAAGGCTATCTGTAGAGCCTTTGCACAATTGTTCATTAAATCAAATATTTCTTAATTATAGAGCAATAAATATTTCTTTGGGTGGAGGGAGCTGGATGGAGTGTGTGGCTAGATTCATACATTGCCCTTTACTGTGACATGTTTTTCTAATTAGTTAGTTGAATAAACCAGGATAATAAGCTATCAAATAAAAAAGCTATAAATTAAATATTTTATTTAAATAATAATTCCTTATAAATAATAAGCTGTAATAATAATAAAGGCAGTATATAAACAAATGCCACGTTGATTGGGTTCTATACTGCTCTGCCAAAATCTAAGATAGAAATCTGTAGTAAACACCAACTTTAATCCCATCACTTTTAACTGTAACTTTATGTAAACTTTAAATTTATGTATTTATTTTGATACTTTAAAACACTATCAAGAGAAACACACAAAAAATGGAAATACTGGAAATGGAATTTTCTCTTATAGTGTCTTCCTTCTTCACTGGGATTTTTCTTCTGAACTTTCTTGAAGATTGCAGGGCCTCTTTATGACCAACTGATGGCAATGTTTCCTTTTGTTTCTAACACCAAGGAATGTAATGTAATTGGTAATGCAGTGTTAGAGCAAAATATTTTAGAGACAGGCAAGAATCCAATGCATTTCTTTCTGTGATGCATGAAATCACTGCATTCATCCTTTTGCACAATGTCTGGAAGTATGAGAATTGATCAGTCAAATATCTACTGGTTTGATCTAGGATATATATAATTATTTTCGATTGAAATAAAGGGGACAGGAATGTACTAAAATTCATTGGATAGCATTCATATTTCATTTTTAAAAATATGGACTCTTGTGCAGCCTCATTGTATGCACGAAAAAAAGCTTTTATTGAAAGAAGAAATTATGCAGGATAATGATGAATAAATTCTGATATTGGGCAAGTACAAACAGAGTTGCATCTGTCCATAAGAGCAAGAGTCTCTTAAAGACACTGTTATGCTTGGTTAACATCCCAATCTAGTGCCTTCCAGATGTATTAGACCAACTCTCAACATTCTCAGCCCACAAGCTGTTTCCATGCTGGCTAGGAGTTGTAGGATACACTGTATATACAGAATATATTTAATATGTCTGGAGCAGGGGTGGGTTCTACTTACCTCCGCTACTGGTTCGCAATGGGAGCGTGCATGCTCTTCTGTGCGTGCGCAGATTGTTCATGATGATGTCCGGGTGGGTGGGCGGAGTCTCCCGCTGCCATTATTACCGGTTCGCAAGAACTGGACCGAACCGGGAGCAACCCACCACTGGTCTGGAGGTCACCAAACATGGGCAGATTTTCTAGATCATTGTTAGTCATTATGGCCAATAGGCTGCATGCATCCATTTTGCAGATTCAGGTGGAGCATTCAGAATTACATAGCCAAGTGATCATTTTCAGTGGCACAATATTTGCCTTTCTGTTCCCACAAATTAAGTCCCCTAATAAGTGTGTTAAGCTTCCCAAAAATTTCATTCACTTAATTTTAAAAAGCCGCAATTAAGTTAAACAGTTTTACTTCTAGTGGTGTGAGTATCACTCATTGGGCAAATGGTCCAATCAACATTAGGTTTGTAATGTATCTCTATTGAAAGGCCCTCCTCTTAAGTTCACAAGTGGGTAGAGGTTTTCATCAAGATTATGAGAGAAGAGAAAAAGAAGAAAGAAACTACTTTGTATTTGATGACTATCTGTATTTTTAGAACTTTCCAGATGCTATCATTAGATACTCGCTGAGAAACAGAGTTTAATTAACCAAGACAATAGCCTCTATTTCAAGCATCTTCCAACATTACTTCAATTCATTAAAAAAGGAGTACAAATCAATTCATTAACCTGCTTGTCATCAATGAACGCCATAATATGATTTGTTTCAGTATCGTCTTTCTTTTAATTCCTATCTCTTTTAGAGGAAGAAGAGGAAGAAGAAGAAGAGGAGGATGAAGAAGAAGAAGAGGAAGAGGAGGATATGGATGAGGATGAAGAAGAGAATGACGTTGACAGAGAACCCAGTTTAATAGATGAAAACTTAGATGATGCTGACCTCTCCAGTTTTACTGTTCCTGGGGAAACCTCACAGGAACCCTTGGAAGGTCTGGAAAGTCCTGCAGGAGAGCTCTCAGGAATATCCTATCATGTACCAAACGCAATTGAATGGGAACAGCAGAACCAAGGGCTCGGTAAGCAATACGTAACACGTGGAAGGTTTGGGCAGCAAAGTCTCTATGCTTGAAAAGGAAGTTCTTATTTTCATTGCAGTTATCAATTCTTCAGTGGTTTGGCTCAGTAGTGGGATTCAAATCTCTACCAGTTTGCTTGTGGGTGCTCATGGGCGCTTGCATGCTTGTGCACTCACATGCACATGCAACACTTCTGCACATGCGCAGAAGCTTCTGCGTATGCACAGAGACGTCCGGGTGGGTGGGTGGAGCCTCCCACCACCACCGCTACCAGTTTGCCTGAACCAGGGTGAACCGGTAGCAACCCACCCCTGGTTTAGCTGGTTATCAAATGTAGTGTAGTGGCTAGTGGGTAGTGATCAAGCTAACAAAGTAGAATTGAAGAAACATTTCCATTCTTGATGTTTTAGCTCTATTTATTTATTTGAATTTATAGTATATCCCATCTTTCATTGAAGAGTTCAGTGACCCCTCATTCTGTTTACCCCCAACCATAACCTGGGCTTTTGCAAGATTTGACCTCTACATATTGTGCCCATTTCTGGACTGAGAGGCCTTGTTTGCGGTAATCCATTCCTTTGTCATCCCTTTCAGTGTTACTCTAACAGACTCTACGTGGGGTTGCCCTTGAAAAGCATTGGGAACCTATGTCCAGAATGCATTTATGCAGTCAATTTTTGGCATTTTCACTGTACTCATATAATATTGGTTCCCAGTAGGTTTCCGAGTGCAATTCAAGGTGCTGGTTGTTACCTATAAAAGCCTACAAGGCATAAGGCCAGGCTCCTTGTAGGACATTTCTCCCATTGCTTCTGCTCCTTCTCACCAGATCCAGCAGGGAGAGCATGCCTCCTCCTGTATTGAACAATGTCATCTTGTTGGATCAGCAGTTGTGCTTTTTCTGCTGCCTTGTGGAACAGCATCACCCTGGACATCCAGTGGCACCAACCCTGTTACCCTTTCCTAAGATTTTGAAGGCCTAGCTGTTTCCCCAGGTGTGTGGGCAGAGAAGTTAAACAAGCAGCGTTGTTGATATGGTATTGTGATTAGGCGGTATTGTTTACCTTGGGTAGCATAACTTATTGTTTGTAACTGTTGGTCTCACAACTAGTCCAATGTAACCCTAGGCAGGGTTTCCTGCCTCAGCAGGGGGTTGGACTAGAAGACCTCCAAGGTCCCTTCCAACTCTGTTATTCTGTATCTTTGCTACTACTGTACATTGGCTGTTGTTGACACGAGAAAACAAAATAATCAGGTGACCCCCTCAACAGTGGTGGGTTTCTAACAGTTTGCCCCATTTCGGGCGAACCGGTAGTGGTGGTGGTGGGAGGCTCCGCCCACCCGCCCGGATGTCATCACGGATGCTCTGCACATGCTCTTTCTCTCTGTCTCTCTTCTGGAGGCGGGAGAGGTGAAAAACGGGGTGTGGTGATGCCCCAGGAGGCCTGTACACCCCATTTTTGGCTTGCAGAGTGCTACTTGAGGTACACTCCATTTTCCACCTCCCCTGGCTCCAGAAAAACTCTGTAACCCAAAAACTGGCTAAAACAGCCCATATTTGGCCTCCCAGGGCATCCACATGCCTGGTTTTTCACTTCTCCCACCTCCAGAAGCACTCTGAGGGCCAAAAATGTGGACCTTACCTTCCAGTTCCAGCCTGTGGGGCTTGCAAAGGTAAGTCCTGCGCTCGGCCGAAGGGTGGGGGCCGGCAGGTAGACGGGGAGATGTGGATGGGTCAGCCTCGTGGTCCTTGCTGGGCCGAATTAATGGCTTCGACGGGTCATATGCAGCCCGTGGACTGTAGTTTGAGGACCCCTGATTTAGAGCAATGTTTCTCAACCTGAAGATATGTGGACTTCAATTCCCAGAATTTCCCAGTGATCTGGGGGGAGGGAGGGAACCCCACTTGTCGAAGGAGAAACCATGAGATCTTATCATAGCCTGGACAGAATAATTCTGCACTCCCTTGAGTCTTTTCTTCATTGTTTTTGTTTTCAACTATAAACAGCATTGTTGGCTTGCAAATTTAAACAAAGTTATTGTAATTGGCAAAGTGGAATGGGAGAACTCATCTGTTTGCATTCCTTTTGTTTTGACTATGTACTTTTGTAGGAAGCTTGGAGAAGGAGTGATGAATTTGAATTGAAAAGATAGCAGAAAGGGAAAGGATTAGGCAGAAATATGGCCCCCTTCTTGAATCTTCTTTAAGCTTGTAATCTTCTGAGGAGCTTGGAGCTGAAGCAGTTTTTTAGGAAGACAAAAACCATCAGTGGATTCAGTGTTCATTCCAATCTGAGATGAATATTCACTGATTGATCTGGGAACATATTTTGCATGTGGCTCTGGGAGTTGCATTTGATTAATCGCACGGCTAGTCCAGAAGCAGCAGACAGCAGCACCCAGCTGACCTTGGCTGATCTTGGGGGGAAAAAAACCTAACCAAGGTTAAAAATGGGTAAGATTTATATAAGAGGCTCCCTGAATGAACAAGGCTTTAGGGTAGATTAAGACGTTAAAAACAAACTAAAGCAGAAAAAGGCAGTGTCAAACTATGTATCTTTTGTTGCCATGAAAATTGCAGGTAGTCCTCAACTTATGACTATAATTGAGCCCCCAATTTCTGTTGCTAAGTGAGTTTTTAAGTGAACATTGCCCCATTTTATGACCTTTCTTGCCACAGTTGTTAAATAAATTACTGTAGTTGTTAAGTTAGTAACACAGTTGGTAAGTGAATCTAGTTTTCCCATTAACTTTGCTTGTCAGAAGGTTGCAAAACGTGATCACATGACCCTGGGACATTGTAACTGTCATAAATAGTGAGTCAGTTGCCAAGCATCTGAATTTTGATCACATGACTATGGGGATGCTGTAAGAAATGTATGTGTGAAAAATGATCATAAGTCCCTTTTTTTTGGTGCTGTTCTAACTTTGAACGGTCATTAAATGAACTGTTATAAGTTAATGTTGTAATCTAGGCTTACAAGACACAATTAGTCCCAAATAACCCTATTTTATTGTAGCAGCTGAGAATTATGTTCATTCCCAGCTGAGTCCCAATTAGTTGCAAAAAAAGTCCTTCAGAAGAAGTCCTTTGGGATAATCATCAAACTTTATCTTCTGTGACACCCTGCCAAGGCCCTTACTTGGCGAAGCCCCATGAAGTTCAGAAACAAACAAGAGACGCCGACTGGAAACAGAGTTAGCAACGTTGCTTTCCTGCAAAAGGCCCCAAGTGCCTTTGTTTCTCTTTTAAGCCTTATAGGAGGGGCCAATCATCTCCTGACCTTACTCCCGAGTTGTTCCTTTTGCTTTAGCTGCTCTTGCCTTCTGGCAGCTCTGCGCATGTATGCACTAGGAACAGGCTCCTCCTGTTCCTCTACCTCTCTGCTGTCTGACTCTGGGGCAGGGGTGAAATCTAAAATTTGTTACTACTGGTTCTGTGGGCGTGGCTTGGTGGTGGGGGTAATGTGACTGGGTAGGCGTGGCCAATTTTTTTTTACTTTTAAAACCATTTTTTACATGTAAAACCATGTAAAAAAATGCTTTCAAAAGGCTCTGACGATCCCAGCTGAGTTGCCTGATCGGCAGGCAACTCAGCTGGAATTGTCAGAGCTTGGATTGTCAGAGCTTGGCTCGTCAGAGCCATTTAAAAGAAAAAAAAGGCTCTGATGATTGCGTAGCTCAGCTGGGCATGGGAGGCGGGGGCAGGGATTTTTGCTACCGGTTCTCCAAACTGCCCGCTGCCATCGCTACCTACTCGCCCGAGCCGGTCCGAACCGGGAGCATTTCACCCCTGCTCTGGGGGCTCTGGAGTCCGCGCATCACTCCTAGATGGCCCTGGCTCCATCTCTGCCTCCGACTCAGAGCCCTCGTCTGGGCTTTCCCCAGACTCCAGGACTGGCCCATGTTCCTCCCCAGCTGTTCTGCCCCAGCTCCGGATTTCTGAGGATATTGACACACACCAATGGTCCTTATCAAATTTATTAAGTAGCAAGAATAAACCAATGTCCGGCAAAGGTTGGCAACCAGCCCAGGAAACAAAATATGATAAGACTTTTCCAAAAATGCTCTGATGATAATTACAAGTTGTTTCCAGCAAGAAACTTACTAACCATGTGTGACTTAAATAGGCTAAGGGAGTGGCCAATTATCCTCAAGTCTTCTCCTGAGTAGCCACTCCTGCCTTTTGGCAGCCCTGCGTGCTCGAGCATTGAGGAGAGGCTCCTCCACTTCGCTCTCTCCACTTGAAGGAGCCTCTGGAGGTTCTGAAGGCCTGGCTGAGTCTCTGCCTCTGGCACTTCAGCCTCCTCTCTGTCTGACGTGAATGCCGGCTGTGCAGGCTGCTGGCGCGATACCACACCAGCCTCCTCATCGTCGGGATCAGCCATGATCCGCGCAGGCTGCTGGCGGGCCACAACACCAGCCTCCTCACTGTCCGACTCTGCTGCCAGCTCCGCAGGCTGCTGGCAGACCACAACAGTTGAGGACTATCTGTATATGGACTCTCTCTTCCTTTAGGTCAGTGTTTCTTATTTCAGCAACTTTAAGATATGTGAATTTCAACTCCCAGAATTCCTCAGCCAACTTCCTGGGGAGTTCTGGAAGTTGAAGTCCACACATCTTAAGGTTGTTGAAACCTTAGGTTTATATCTGGTCCAGGTATTGCTTCAAATGCCAGAGAGCCAGTAATGAAGGATACCGGGAGTTGTAATTCAGTAATATCTGGAGGGCAAATAAGATCTTTTTTTTAAAATTGATTTATTTATATCTTCACTCTTATAACACCTGCATCCTTCACGCTTCATTATATTATTTATAACATGAAACTCCAGTTACATTCTCAGAGGTTCCATCTTTCAGTTGTATCCTTATGAATTTTATGAACTTTATCCTTATGAACCAAATAATTTTTTAAAATACAGAAATAATGCTTGGTGAGAGAATGAAGCTTACTACCCCTTGTTTTTCTGATCTTCATCTTCATGGGATTGCATTTGTTG